GAACCATCTCTCCAATCTTACTCTTTTGTTTGTTTGTTTGTTTGCTTGCTTGCTTGCTTTAGTTTTTGTTGTTGCTATTTGGGACAGGGTTTCTCTGTGTAACAGTGCTGGCTGTCCTGGAACTCACTCTGTAGACCGAGCTGGCTTTGAACTCACAGAGATCCGACTGCCTCTACCTCCTGGGTACTGGGATTAAAGGCGTGCGCCAACACTGCCCGACGCCAGCCCCACTCTAAATATCTTATAAAACTTTAGTACACTTGTCAACGCCATGAGATAAACCTGGAAGGTGGAGGCAGGAGGATCCAGAATCTAAGGTTATCCTTGGCTATACTGCAAATTCAAAGCAAACTTGAGCTACATAAATCCTATCTCAAAAAATAAAATAAAAACACTGGCGTATTTACTATTAACTGAGCCTCAGCCTTCACTTGGATGTCATGTTTTCCCACTGATGCTCAGGATCCAACCCATAGTACCATGTTGCTGGAGACCAAACCCCAGAGTCCTCTGAGGGCTCCACCAATGCTCAACCACTGTGCCAATAATAGAAGAAGAACAGCCCTAAATTTGTGTCTCTGTGATGTTCCCTGTATGCTTAGACTGAGATTATGTTGGTGGGGCAGGGTGGAAGTGGAGAATACACAGCTGTGGCATTTCCTTCTTATTCCAGCACGCCAAGAGTGACATGTTATTAACTTGTGATACTGGTCTCAAGTACTTTGTAGGGTAGTGCATGCCATATTTCTCTACTTGAAGTTATTATTTTCTTTTGCTCCTACTTTGCTTCTGGAAGGGGCAAATCTATAAATCTAACTCCTATTGGGGGTACGGGAACTGGCATGATTAAGTTCCATCTCCTGGAGGAATACTATAACACCACATATAGTATTTGAAATTCGTGAGTAAGAAAGATGTGTCTCCCTCTCACCAGATTCTATTTGTCCATTTATATTTATTGGTATGTATGCATGTATATTTATTTTGTACTTTGTATTATGACTCGATACTATTGTTATTCATTTTGTTGCTCAATTTTTTCCAGCTTTAGCTCTGAGAAGCTCTTCTGCCTGCTTGTCTTTAATATGTCTCATCATTCTGGAGTTCGGGGACCCTATAAACCAGAGCTCATCTTCCTGTGTCTTTCTCTCACTCTGTAACCCTCAGCCACTAACTAACAAAGGGATCCGTTCTTCCCTCTCCCATAAAGGATTCCATATATAATGTCTGTCCTCACCTCACAACACTAGGATCTAATCCATGCGTTTAATCCAAAATGGATATAGGATTAGATCCAGGATCTAATCTGCCTTGAATTTAGATAGGATACTGGGCACTTTGCTGTGTTTGTGAGCCCATACATGGAACCAGGTTGGTACTTTCATCCCCTACCTGGTTCAAATTCCCTTCTTTGACCTTACAGACTCTAACATATTCAAGACCTATACAAGGCTGCCTAAACCCAGCACCACCTATGTTGTGAAAATAACAGCTAGCTGACCTGGACGAATGGAGTTCCATTTTTAGTATATTAGACTTCATGTACAGTCAGTATTCAACTGCCTCCTAAGCCAAATCCTCTTGGCTTTGATCCAACAGATGGATACCCAAGAGGTCATTTGCTTTTCTCTTCAATCCAGTGGTCAGCTTTCTGTCAACATTTTGGGATCACCGCTGCCTTCTCTGGTTGTTTTCCTCTCCTCAGATGTTTGCTTTCTCCAAAGAGTGCTAGTTATTTGGAGACAAGTTGTAGCCCATCTGTCTCTGGATAATTCTTGGAGAGAGAGAGAGAGAGAGAGAGAGAGAGAGAGAGAGAGAGAGAGAGAGCACTCTTGACATGAAGCCTCCAATTCACAATCTCCTACTGCCCCTCTCAGATGAAGGGATTACATAATGCACCACCACGCGTTACTCAGTTCTAGCCTATCTCCGAACTGCTTTAGCTCTGCCTAGAGCCCAGAATCCCCTAAGAAGTTCCCAACTCTCTTTTGTTCACTCCACATGCTGGGAGCTGTGCAGCCTAGTCTTGGATCAGCATAAGACTCCGTGTTCTACGGGCTTCCTCAGGGCAAGGCACCGGTGGAAACTCTCACTCGGCAAGACCAGGGTAGGAATTTGCAAAATTCAGGCAGCTTGCAGGTTCTTTTCTCTCTCATTATTTTGGTGATTCTTCGGGTGGTTTTTAGTTTTACTCTGTCAGCCACACGTGCAACAGCTGTAATTTCCCCTGGAAATTCTGCTCCTTTTTAAATATTTTCCCCTAATATTCAACAGGGGGCTAACGCTTCTCAAATCTCTTCCCTGGAATTGCTAACTACAACGCCCAATCCTGGGAACTTTTCTGATTCGATAGAAACAGGTGCGCATGACAGAACACCACTTTGAACGCTCACTCTGTCTCACGGTTCTAGAAAGGGGAGTGAGGCATGTGTACACAGAATGGGGGAAAGCCTTAGGGATTCACACAGTGCCAACTGTTGAGAGTAAGTTCCCTGGACACCACACATAGAAGCATTGGTAGGATCTCGTATGCGCCAAGAGGAAACAGACAATGCAAACTATAGGATGGAGAGATCCATCTTTACCATACACAGGAGCTTACATTGGTGGGAGATGCATGGTACAGAGAGATGGGAAGAGCGACTTATCAAAGTCTGCCTTCTACAGAGAGATCGAGATGTGGAGTCCTCTTGTAGGAAAAAGAACTGTATAAAAATACACCTTGCAGACATGAACCAATGTCTGGGTTTGAATATTGTCCTTAAAGCATTGTTCCCAAGTCTGTTACTTTTAACTTCGTAACTGCAAGCAGCTGACATGTGCGCCAGGAGAGCAGGTTGTGTCTGGCTCGATGTTTAGTTAAGGCCTGCAAAAATGCTGAACTCTATGTCTAGAGTAAGGTATTGTAGTGGGTGAGATGGTGTATTTGGGGAAGCATAAAGGGGAACAATGGGGGTTTTCATAATGTGATGTATTTCTTAAAGTCAAAAACAGAAGCCAATAGCTGGGCAGTGGTGGCGCACGCCTTTAATCCCAGCACTCGGGAGGCAGAGGCAGGCGGATCTCTGTGAGTTCGAGGCCAGCCTGGTCTAGAAGAGCTAGTTCCAGGACAGGAACCAAAAGCTACGGAGAAACCCTGTCTCGAAAAATCCAAAAAAAAAAAAAAAAAAAAAAAAAAAAAAAAAAAAAAAGAAGCCAATAATAAAGTTGTTCATGTAACCCTGGTAAGAAAAATTCTGGTATGTATAAATAAAGACAGCCTGAGCTATTCGGGGCCACTTGAGCGCAGCCCACTTGGTGGTCAGAAGTTTCCTTTTCCTTGGCCAATGTCCCTTTCCCGCCTCAGGACCTGAACCCAAGACAAGGCTGAACCCTAGCAACGTAACACTGTAAACCTTCAAGACATTCTCAGGTTTTATTTGCCTCACTTTAATCTTATTTGTTCCAAAAGTTTCCTTGATTCTTGACTTCCCCAGTCATATCCCAAAATAATTCTCTCAGAAGGGGAGGTGTTTGTGTGGGGGCGGGGAAGCGGTGAGATCTCTTAACTGGCTATTTCTTTGCCACAAGAGGGAGCCAGATCTCTTCAGTAAGAGCCTTGGCTGCAGGTACTCAATACTGCACCTGGTATGAGTCCAGGTGTCTTTGATTTATCAAAACCGTGATTGCTGAAGTCTAAAACTGCGCAGACAAGTTTCTAGTGTTTGTAGGGTCCCACCACCAAAGGGTCCCCAGCACAGCCAGAGTTCCTTTGCTCTTTCTTGCAAGCACAGGGAGAGGGTGCCATCAAAATCCTCTGCTCTCTGGTCTCTAAGGGGGTATGACATTCACTCTAGTCAGAAGGCTCTTGTCTCATCAGGATTGTCTTTCTCTAGCGGATAATAGCTGAAACACAGCTTCTCCTCGCCCGGAATGACCTGGTGCCACCATTTCCGTGTTTGTGTGTACTGAGTCTGATAGCTGACTTTTGGCAAGGTTAGGTTCCAAAACAAGACAATCAGTTTTATTTCTGAGATCAGAAGATGCCAGTGACTCTTCCCCGATCCCGGGCTGTTAATGCCCCCACCCCCACCCCCAGAAATTGGGTTTGTCCCTCCACCACGTGTATCGCTGGCACAAGTCTTCATGGGACTGGACCGATGTCAGAGCCTCTTCACGGTCCCAGAAACATCAATTTACTGCACTATATATAGGCTGTTGGGTCCCCAAGGGCTTGGGTGGTGTGCTTCTGACCCGGCCCAGAGAGGGCGCTCCTGATAACCTCGCAGACGGAAGGAGCTGCAGCCAGGCGTGCCTTAGCCTCTGTGATGGAGCAGCATTGTAAAAGGCTCAGCAAGGCTGTGGGGGTCACCTGTGGGAAGGGGCAGGGCAAGCTGAAGAAAAGGTAAGGTCATTTGAGAAAGAATCCTGTAGGGGACAAAGAATTGGGCAGAGGAGTTAGGTTGGGTAAAAGAATAGAAAGGTGGCCGGTCTGTGGTGGCACATGCTTTTAATCCCAGCACTCGGGAGGCAGAGGCAGGTGGATCTCTGAGTTCGAGGCCAGCCTGGTCTACAGAGCTAGTTCCAGGACAGGCTCCAAAGTTACAGAGAAGCCCTGTCTCGAAAAACAAAAAAAAACAAAAACAAAAAACCTTCACTTAAGCGGGAAAATTCCTGTGCCAAGACCCTTCTCTCAGTCCTTCTTGATGCCCCTCCAAGGCAGAACAGAAGCCGTTTTGTTGGTGTCGTTTTTGCCTCTGTAGTTTCTGCCACTGTCATGCCTCCTCACCCCACCCCCACCCCATCCACCTACCCCTTCAAATGGGAGCTCCACTTGGCACGGATCTCTGAACATTGTAAATCTAGTGTCACACCAAGTTCCTAAGATGTTTAAGATCCTCAGAAAGTGTTTGTGGAATGGCCAGCAAAGGGGAAAGAAAGGATACCTTTTCCTTCTCATGGGCAACCTGGACGTGGTGGGATATGGGAGCAGCCCGGACATCATCTGACAGTGGTTGAGGAAAATGGATTGCTTGGAGGAGGCTCTCGATGCAGCGAGCCTTGGACTGTCCAGAGAACCGCTGTGGGAGTAGTAGGAAAGTCAGTGTTGGGGTGGAGGGCAAGGAGAACTGAGAATAGTGTCACAGAAGAAAGGGAGAAGGGGGGTGGGGCGGTTAGGATCCTGAAGACTGGCTGAAGACACTGTGGAGAGTTTGTCTCTCCTGGCAATCCCATAATCACAAAGTGTAAAGGAAAACTGAGTTAAAGGAGTTAATGAATGGGAAGTTGGTGAGATTTACAACTGATCCAACGACCCCACATAGATCGATGATAAAGGATAGCAACCTTCAAGGCCATCCATCATGATCTCTGCCCAGCATCCATTCTCTCTCCATTTGGGAATTAGCCCCTTTCTTTTCCTGGATAACTGTTGGTCTCCATTCTGAGACCGTAGATATAATTAAGCCATTCTGCCCCACCAGATTCTTGAAAGTACACACAAAGCAGATGAGCAGGTGCCCTTTCTCCCTGGAGGGCAGTGATTGGTTCAAAGTTGTGTACATGACCCAAGACAAGGCAACAAGAGCCCTCAGCCAGATGCTAGTGGTGTCATGAGGAACAGAAAGACTCCTTCCCACTGAGGTTACTGTCTTAGAACTATTCTATTCTAAGTCCTGGAACTCACTTTTGTAGACCAGGCAGGCCTCGAACTCATAGACACCTGCCTGTCTCTGCCTCCTGAGTGCTGGGATTAAAGGCGTGTGCCACCACTGCCCGGCTACTAGTTGGGTTTCTATTGCACCTTGAAACCTAAAGACTGCTGACTGGGAGTTACAGTGTCACACTTATGCACCTTTGTGTGCATGCAATGAAGACAGGATGATATGCCCAAGAAAGACACACCTGTGAAAACCTAGCACTCAACCCTACACCCCTCCCCAACATTGAAAAAATCCACCTTCTACGGCAGTCTGGGTTTGGGGGTCTCCTGTCACGCTCCCACCTGCAACATGGCCAGTGCCCTCCAAAAGAGCTTGGAGTTGGTGATGCGGAGGTCCAGCATGTGGTTCTGTAGGGTCTTCCCCAGCAGCACGTGGGCCTCGGTACTCACTGTATTCAACACCCACTTGGTGCTTAGCTCACGCTGGAACTTCTGAAATACAGACACACGGGAGCGCTGGAAGTTAGGGGCTGGGAGAGCAGCGGGTGAGAGAGCCATATTAGAACAGAAAACCTGGGCTAAGACAGCAGCCACCTCAGGGCTGAAGAGAAAGACGGCCCTGGGAAAGAGCACTGGTTGCTTTTCCATAGGTCCAGAGCGCAATTCCCAGCAACTACGTAGTGGCTCATAATCCGATGCCCTCTTCTAACATTGTATGGCATTTAATGATGTACTCATCATTAAAATATGAATAAATAAAATTTTTAAAAAAACGAAGCTACAGTACTGAAAACAGTCTGATACTGGCATAAGAACGGACAGGAGGACCAATGGAACTGAATAGAAGACCCGGATATCAATCTATACATCTTCGAACACCTGATATTTGATAAAGAAGCAAAAAATATCAAATGGAAAAAAGAAAGCATATTTAACAAGTGGTGCTGGAATAACTGGATATCAACATGTAGAAAAATGAAAATAGACCCATATCTATTACCATGTACAAAACTCAAGTCCAAATGGATCAAAGACCTCAACATAAATCCAGCCACACTGAACCTTATAGAAGAGAAAGTGGGAAGTACACTTGAACGCATTGGCACAGGGAACCACTTCCTAAATAGAACCCCAGCAGCACAGACAATGAGAGAAACAATTAATAAATGGGACCTCCTGAAACTGAAAAGCTTCTGTAAAGCAAAGGACACGGTCAACAAGACAAAACAACAGCCTACAGAATGGGAAAAGATCTTCACTAACTTCACATCAGACAGAGGGCTGATATCCAAAATACACAAAGAACTCAAGAAATTGGACACCAAAAAATCCAATAAAAAAATGGAGTACAAACCTAGACAGAGAACTCTCAACAGAGGAACCTAAAATGGCTGAAAGACACTTAAGGAAATGTTCAACATCCTTAGTCATCAGAGAAATGCAAATCAAAACAACTCTGAGATTCCATCTTACACCTGTAAGAATGGCCAAGATCAAAAACACTGATGACAACTTATGCTGGAGAGGTTGTGGGGAAAAGGGAACACTTCTGTATTGCTGGTGGGAATGCAAGCTGGTACAACCCCTTTGGATGTCAGTGTGGCGATTTCTCAGAAAATCAGGAAACAACCTTCCTCAAAACCCAATAATACCACTTTTGGGTATATATCCAAAGGGTGCTCAATCATGCCACAAGGACATGTGCTCAACTATTGTTGAAATAAGAGCAGCGGGGCTGGGCTGCATCCCGCCACCCAGCTGCTCGCACGGCTAGCTTTACCCGAAATAATTACACGGAAACTGTATTCTTTTAAACACTGCCTGGCCCCATTAGTTCCAGCCTCTTAATGGCTAGCTCTTACATATTGACCTAACCCATTTCTATTAATCTGTGTAGCCCATGAGCTGGCTTACCAGGAAAGATCTTAACCTGCATCTGCCTGGAGTGGGAGAATCATGGCGACTCTCTGACTCAGCTTCTTTCTCCCAGCCTTCTGTTCTGTTTTCTCCACCCACCTATGTTTTAACCTATGAGGGCCAAGCAGTTTCTTTATTGCTTAACCAATGAAGTCAACAGATTGATGTATGACACTCCCACATCAAACTATGTTCATAGCAGCTTTGTTTGTCATAGCCAGAACCTGAAAACAACCTAAATGCCCCTCGATTGAAGAATGGAGAAGAAAAATGTGGTACATTTACACAATGGAATACTACACAGCAGAAACAAATACGACAGATTGAATTTTGCAGGAAAATGGATGGAGCTAGAAAACATTATTTTGAGTGAGGTAACCCAGACCCAGAAAGACAATTATCACATGTACTCACTCATAGGTGGTTTTTAAATATAAAGCAAAGAAAGCCAGCCTACAAATCACAATCCCAGAGAACTTAGATAACAATGAGGACACTAAGAGACTTACATAGATCTAATCTACATGGGAAGTAGAAAGTAGAAAAAGACAAGATGAGTAAATTGGGAACATGGGGACCTTGGGGGAGGACTGAAGGGGGAGGGGAGAGGCAGGGAGAGGAGCAGAGAAAAATGTAGAGCTCAATAAATATCATGGGGGGAAAAACGATGCTGGACACCTAAGCGCAGATCATTTGTTTGATGAGAACAGCCTTTAACAATCTTTCTTGGTTTTGATCATATTATTGAGAGAGTTAATGTTTGTAAGCTTCACTTGCCCAACGACAGATAACTTCTTGGAATGCTGGGGCTGTTGTGTTTTCGCTTCAGTAAACAAAACTGGTAGCCCCAACTGCTCAGGATGTGCTTGATCACAAGGCCGGCAGGAGTTGCACCTGCAGGAAGTGCTCAGGAGATGTTCTTTCCCCTGATTGGACGTAGTAACCTTGTGGATTTTGCCTTTATGAGCACCTGATTAACCTAATTCATCACCATTCTCTGGGAATTCTGGTTATGGACCTGGCCAGTGTCCATCTTTCTGGCCAATATTTATTAAACTTTGCTTTAATTAGATAATTGTGGATTTGGCCTTTCTCCTCACAATTTTCAGGTATAACAGTCTACTTTATTTTTTTAATCTATTTACTTGTATTTTTAACATGTATGGGTACTTTGCTGGCATGTGTCTCTGTGTACCACATGTATGCAGTGAACTCGGGGGCCAGAAGAGGGCATCCAATCCTCTGGAACTGGAGCTACTGACAGTTGTTATCTGCCCTGTGCTTGCCTATCAAAGCTTTAGATCCATTCCAAAGGGGAGAAAGAAAGAAAAAAAGAAGGGAAGGAAAGAGATCTGGAGAGATGACTCAGTAGTTAAGAGCCTTGACTGCTTTTCCAGAGAACCCAAGTTCAGTTCCTGTCACCCACATGATAGCTGACAACGATCTGTAACTCCAGTTCCAGGGGCTCTGACACCCCCTTCAGGCCTCCATTGGCATCGTGCACACATGATGTACACACATACATGCAAGTATAATACTCAGACACGTTAAAAATAATACATAAAAGTAAAATTAAGGGTGTCTTAATTAAGCCACTCTCAAGGTCAAACCTCCTAGTTCAAAAAAACAAGCAAAAATATACTTAAATATCCTGACCGTTGGTCAGGGTGGAGTGGATCTACCCGTATGGGTCATCTTAATGTCAAAAACCAAATAACCACACCCTAGGCCGCACTTGTTGTCAACAACATTAAACAAGCTCTGACCTTCAGAGAAGGTTAAAAAAAACAGACACACATTTTTGGGCCTCCACACACTGCCCCCCCCCCCCGCCCCCATACCCCTTTCCTTTCATTCCTCTGTTGCAGGAGCTCCTTCTGCTCCTTCAGCCAATAGCCACTGAGATACCAGCCCATTGGGGCATTGTCTCTCTCCCTTTAAAAAAGAGGCCACTTCCCTCTGCTAGTGTTCTGGCTTCTGGCTCCACTTCTGGCTACTAGGCTCCCTTCCTGATTGCGCAGAGGGCTGTTGTCTGGGACGGTGATCTGTAAGTTTTTCCCCCTTAAATAAATAACCATTCTATTAATCATAATTCAAAACTAGTGTGGGATTGTTTGTGACTTATGCCTTCATTCTTTCTCCTCCTCTTCTTCTTCTTCCTCCTCCTCCTCCTCCTTCTTTTTTGACAGGGTCTCTCTGTGTAGCTGTCCTGGAATTCTCTATGTGGACCAGGCAGGCCTCAAATTCACAGAGATCCACCCATCTCTGCTGGAATTAAAGATATGTGCCTTCATACCTGGTTTTGCCTGTCTTTGTGTGGTCATCCTTGTTATGTGTATCTCTCTCTATCTTCCAGGTTTTTCTTAGAAGCATGCCAGTCACTGGATTTAGAGTCTACTTCAGGATAATGCCATCTTGAGATCCTTAACCAGGTTACATAGGCAAAGTCTTATTTCCAAATAAGGCAACATCTACAGTGAACAGAATTGGAACTCAGACACAGCCTTTTTGGTGACACCCAATTCACCACCATATCCACAGGAAGATGGTGGATAGGGAATTGAATATACAAGTTTTAAGTTCAAGGGAAGGACAAATGTTGGAGCACACATTTGTGGCCATCAGCACACGGATGGTGGCTAAGCTTTATAGAGAAAGAAGAGCCCCGAGGAACCATGTCAGAGAGTGGGGGAAAATGAGGAAGATTAAAGACAAAGACACAAAATTAGAAGGCGGGGGGCATGTGAGGTTATGGAGGATGGTAATGATGATACACATTTACATTGTATGGGGGTTCTGGTGTCCGCTCTAGTTTCAGAGGGGCATGTGTGAAAGCTCCTTTGCCTGGAAAGAAAGTAACAATGGTTAGTTTCTAAAAAATACTTTTGTTTTTAAAGAAAAATTAGAAACCATCTATCTAATATCTATCTATCTATCTATCTATCCATCCATCATCCATCTACCTATTTTCTTTTCAAGACAGGGTTTCCCCGTGTAGCCCTCACTGTTCTGGAACTCACTCTGTAGACCAGGCTGGCCTTAAACTCAGAGATCCACCTGTCTCTGCCTCCCAAGTGCTGGGATTAAAGTCGTGCACCACATCTAGCAGGGAATATTTTTTTAAGGGAGAAATAATAGAACGTTTATGTTGATAGTGAGGAAGTTAAGAGGTAAAAATCGATGCTAGCAAGGAAAGGGAAGACTTTCTCAATTAAGTGACATCTGGAGTTAGGCAGGCAGGAGATATAACCTACAACTGAAGGGGAGGCTGGCCTTTGGAACTGGGGCAGTTTGGTGTTTCTGGGAGCCTGTGACAATTCTTTGTTGACTGCTTCTGTTTCCTTAGGAAATAGGAAGCAGGGTCACCTGCAGAAAAGATGGATGGTGAGAACAAGGGTGTAGAAGGAGGTGTGAGGTAAGGGAAGTTGTGAGTTTGTATCTCACAATTATGGCAACAGTTGTATGAGGGAACAATGCTGGCCTTGAACTTACAGAGATCCATCTGTCTCTGCCTCCCGAGTACTAGGATTAAAGGCATGGGCCACCACAGTCTGGCCAAGGGAACAACTATTTCCTAACTTGGAAATATTGACCTCTCAAGTAAAGTTAGGAATTGTGAACTGAAAGTGAGCAGAAGTCCCAGTAGTAGTGGCTTCTCCCTAGCTCCTTTCAGGTGTTTGTGGGTGGAGAGCTAGACTTTGCCCAGTTGCAGTTCTGTCAGACGTGTAAGAGAAAGTGAGAGGGAGTAAGGATTACAAAGATAGAGTTAAATGATGAATAAAGAGGGGCTGGAGAGATGGCTCAGTGAGCAAGAGCGCTGACTGCTCTTCCAGGTTCAACTCCCAGCTCCCACATGGCAGCTCACTACTGTCCCTAACTCCAAGATCTGACACCCTCACACAGACACACATGCAGGCAAAACACCAATGCAAATAAAAATAAACAAATTTAAAAAAAAAGCCGGGAGGTGGTGGTGCATACCTTTAATCCCAGCACTCAGGAGGCAGAGACAGGCGGATCTCTGTGAGTACAAGGCCAGTGTGGTCTACAGAGCAAGCTCCAGGACAGGCTCCAAAGCTACAGAGAATCCCTGTCTCGAAAAAACAAACAAACAAACAAAAAAAACCCCAAACAAACAAAAAAGAAAGCAAGAAAGAATGAATGAAGAACAGTGGAGAAGGGAAATGAATCTAAGAATTAATATGCATGGGGACGGAAGGGCCATCTGGGTGTCTCCACGCTCTCTCATTAGGTAAGGTGAGAGGTACAGCTGCCTGCGCTTTTCTTGTCACATACTGTAGGGTAAAAAGGCCCATCAAAGAAACACACCCAGACCCTGAAATCTGAGCCAAAGAAACACATTCTGCTCCTGACCAACTCAATACAAAACAAGCCAATCCCTGAGGATGAAATCTAACCAATCTCTGAGCTTGTTCAAGCTCAGGAATTGAAATTCTCCCAATTCCCTCCCTGTAAATCTCCAGCCTGGAAAAACCACTTCCCTAAGAAGCCCTAGAGAAGACCTGTGCCTGTTCAGTTTGCTCCTTGCCCCTTTCCACCATGGTGTAGATGGTGGAATATCTTTTTTTTTTTAAAAAAAATTATAAACCAATTGGCCTATTAACTCAGGCTTCTTATTAACTCTTATAACTTTTTTTAAAAAAAATATTTATTTATTTATTATGTATACAATATTCTGTCTGTGTGTATGTCTACAGGCCAGAAGAGGGCACCAGACCTCATTACAGATGGTTGTGAGCCACCATGTGGTTGCCGGGAATTGAACTCAGGACCTTTGGAAGAGCAGGTAATGCTCTTAACCACTGAGCCATCTCTCCAGCCCTTAACTCTTATAACTTATATTAGTCCATAATTGATGATGTAAGTCACAAAACAATCCCACACCAGTTCAGAATTATGCATAATAAAAGGGTTATTTATTTAAGGGGAAAACTTACAGATCACTATCCTAGACAACAGTCCTCTGTGCAAACAGGAAAAAAGTCTAGCAGCCGGAAGTGGGAACATAGGCAAGAGAACGGGCACAGGGTTCCCACTGCCTTTACAGTATAAGAGACCATGCTCAAATGGGCTGGTATCTTAAAAGCTATTGGCTGAAGGAACAGAATGTGCTCCCCCAGCACACAATTTTTGTTTATTTTAGCCACGTGGCTCAATACCTTATTTGGCGAGGCAGTCACATCTTGCTTCCTCTGTGTCATGATTGCAGAATGAGCTTTTCTCTTCCCAGAATTCTCCTGTTCTCATTTCCCCATCTCTACTTCCTGCCTGGTTGCTTCACCTATACTTCTTGCCTGGCTACTGGCCAATGAACACTTTATTAAATATAATACAAGTGACAGGATAAAAGACCATGTTCCACAGCACTCTCCCCCTTTTAAAACAAGATCTCTGAATCTAATATCACTTGTTTAGCTTTTTGTCTGACCATTATTCATAATAACTTGTAACCACCATTCTAAACAAAGGAAAATATCCATAGTCCATTTTTTTAGGAATGTGGGCGTATTTTTTCCAGGCTACTTCCTGATGATTGGGGGTGCAGTTAATCTTATGGGGGCCTAAAGAATATTTAGAATTATGAGCAAGTCCTGACTGGAGTATCCTTGGAGGCTTGATCATCTCAGGCAGCAGTCTTGAATCTGTTCTAGATGTAGAACTCAGACATCTGGGCCATCCACTCCTATTGGGGGGTCTTCCTTGATCAAACCTAATTTTTTTTTAACTCAGAATGAATCCACAGCCTCTCATTTCCTGTGGAAATAAAAGCAAAACCTCTTCTTCAAACTAACATACCTTTTGACTTATATTTTAAAGTCAAGGCATTTTCAAAATATATATGTTGAATTAATTCAGCAGCATTTATAATCAAATGTCTTTTAGTAGCTGTTGCTCCTTCCTCAGCAGTCATGTAATTCAAAGACAACACAATACTATATAGTATCCAGACTCTCTCTGTGTTTTTCATCTTTATGTGGCTTCATTTTAAGCTCTATTTCTTTTATTTTTAATTTTTGGCTTTTTGAGACAGTTTTTTTTCTGTGTATCTTTGGCTGTCCTGGAACTCCTTCTGTAGACCAGGCTGTTCTTGAACTCACAGAGATCTGCCTGCCTCTGCCTCCCAAGTGCTGGGATTAAAGTTGTGTGCCACCACACCTTAAGCTCACAGAGATCTGTCTGCCTCTCAAGTGTTGGGATTAAAGGTGTGTGCCACTATACCCAACTACTACTCTTTTTTTCTTTTTTCTTTTAAGCACTTCTTTTTCTTTTCTCAAGCCTACAGAAGGGGGCACTAGAAATCATTATAGATGGTTGTGAGCCACCACGTGGTTGCTGGGAATTGAACTCAGGACCTCTGGAAGAGCAGTCAGTGCTTTTAACCACTGAGCCATCTCTCCAGCCTCCTACATATATTTTTAAACACACTGCAAACTATTTAGAGGCTTTTTCATCTGAAACTATTGTTACTGTATCTCTCTTTTTCTCACCACACCAGTCTTTGATTTGCTAAACAATATGGCTAGGATTAAAATCGTGACTTTGACTGCTGGTTCCAGCCCATTCCTTAGCTTTCTGAGGTGGTGGGAAATCTTATCCACTGGATTCTTCCCTCCCAATAAACCTTGTGAATGAGGTTTGGGTGAGGTCTTCTTTCTCTAGAATTGAGTGGAGCATTTCTCTAGAATGGAACTGTAACACTTTAGCAGTAAAACCTTCACATAGCAAAGCAGAGTTGTTACATTCCAGGGCACCTGAGCAGAACTGTAACAACTTTGCTGGGGAAACCCTCCCCTGTTGTTTCATTGGGGAAACCTTTCTCTGGAACAGGGCTGTAAACTGCTGTGCTTACAGTGATTTGGAGGTATTCCTTGGCTCCTAACTGAAAGGTTCTCTTTCCATCTGAGCTACAATACTTCAGTTTTCCTATTTAAGAAATTGATAATACGGATAGTTTCTACCTTACCACATACAATAGTGTTTACCGGTAGCTGCCTTAGGTCTTTTAATGCAGACTCCTCTCTGCTCCTTTTTAACCGACAACCTTGGGTCTTGCAAAGTCCTGTAAATGGACGCTTCTCTCCCACCTGTCAGTTCCAGGTAACCTTAACACAGAGGCTTACATTAATTACAAATGTTCAGCCAGTAGCTCAGGTTTATTAGTAGCTAACTCTTACACTTAAATTAACTCATAATTCTTATCTATGTTTAGCCACAAAGCAGTACCATTATTAGCATGGCACGTTCATCTCTTGCTCCTTCTGCATCTGGCTGTGACTCCTGACCTCACCCTTCTCTTTCACATCATCCTTAGTCTGGTCACCGCACCTATACTTCCTGCCTGGCTACTGGCCAATCAGCGTTTTATTAAACTAATTTGAGTGACAAATCTTTACATTGCACAAGAAGATTATTCCACAGCAAAGTCCATTGGTTCTTGTAGGACTCAGCCATGACAAGAACAATAGAGGCCCGAGGTCTCAGTAGTTTACCCTGAGGCAATACCTGATTCCTAGAAAGACCCCAAACTGAGACTACCTGGCACTATCCAGGAACAGACCATCCAAAGGAAATTCTTTTCTTTTTTTCTTTTTGGTTTTTTGAGACAGGGTTTCTCTGTAGCTTTGGACAAAGCCTGTCCTGGAACTAGCTCTTGTAGACCAGGCTAGCCTCGAACTCCCAGAGATCCGCCTGCCTCTGCCTCCTGAGTGCTGGGATTAAAGGCGTGCGCCACCACCGCCCAGCTACCAAAGGAAATTCTTAATGTTCCAACAATTGTAGATGGGATCACCTGCCAGTACACACCCATCGCTTTTCACCAGGACACCCCTAGACAAATCTCAGCTAATCAGAGGTCCTAAACCTTAGAAATCCCTCACCCCCACCTTTGCTACTGTAAAAACCCAACTCTGAGCTTGGGGCTCTCTGATCACTCCAATATGTTGGACACATGGAGAGACCGAGTTTTCAAACTTGTGTAAGAGTAAAGGCTCTTTGCTTTTACATACAGGACTTGGTCTCCTGGTTGTTTTGTGGGTACTCTGTGATTTGGGCATAACGGTTCTCAGGTATTATCTTTCAGCCTCTGACATGGCTTTATCATGCTTTGCTTCTGAAACGCCCAGGTTTTCAGGGGATCTCACTCTTTGGCTTTTACGCGTTTCACTGATACCTCTTCTCAATCAACTTTGTAGAATCCATATTCTCTAATTGCTCTCTTAGCTTGGCATTAAATTCTCTCCCTTTTAAAAAACTTATTGTGTACACTGTAGTTAACTACATGCATGCCCGCAGGCCAGAAGAGGGCACCAGATCTCATTACAGATGGTTGTAAGCCACCATGTGGTTGCTGGGAATTGAACTCCGGACCTGTACACAAGTAGGAGGTGCTCTTAACCACGGAGTCATCTCTCCAGCCCATAAAATCTCTTATTTAGTAACATTCTTTTTGGGGTCTGGTTTTAAAACAGGCTTTCTCTGTGTAGCTCTGGCTGTCCTGGAGCTTGACTTGTAGACCAGGGTAGTTTCAAACTCAGAGATCTGACTTCTCTGCATCCCAAACTCTAGGATTAAAGGCGTGTGCCGCCACGCACTGCTTCTTGATTCACGTTCAACTCGACTTCCCTTCGTTTCCTATAGCATCTGTATGTTAATATAGCCAAAACAGGCATCTTTCTTCTCCAAGCCCCGATTTTTACTTTGATAGTTCTATGCTTGTATAATTACTGTGAGCACATGACTATATCCTTAAAGAGAGTAAAGGAATATGAAAAAAGTTGTTACAATCTTGGAGATGTAAGTTAATATTTCCTTTAAACATTTTGTCTAGTCATTTACATAACATCTTTAAAAGAAGGGCCTTGTTCTGCAGTACGTAATTCTCCAGTCTCGCGTCCTTCTCACAGTAGTTTAAGATGGGCCTCTCCGAGCCACCGTATACAGGGTGGGCCCCGCTCAAAGCTCTAATGCGTCACGAGCAGCCACTCCCCAGGCTCCCAGCGTTCCCTCCGCCCTACTTCCTCCCTTCAGGCCCCGCCCCGCCCCGGTGCGCCTGCGCATGGGCGAACACGTGGCTGCCGCGGAGCCAGAGCAGCAATGGCGGCCGGTGGCGGCGGTAGCTGCGACCCCTTGGCCCCGGCGGGGGTCCCCTGTGCCTTCTCGCCGGACGGGCAGGCCTACTTCGCTTTAGCCTCTAGCGACGGCCACTTGCGGGTGTGGGAGACAGCCAACAACCGGCTGCACCAGGAGTACGTGCCTTCCGCGCACCTCAGCGGTACCTGCACCTGCCTGGCCTGGGCGCCAGCGCGGCTGCAGGCCAAGGTAAAGCGAGCGGGACGGCGGCGGGGAGGGCGCCCTCCCAGCCGGGCTACGGCGTCCCGGGCTGGGCGGCGCGTGGCAGCACGTCGCGCGTGGCCCGGGCCGCCCGGGGCGAGGAAGCGCGGAGCTGACGGCGGCTCCCCTGAGCTCCGCTCCGCGGACGTGAGTGCGGCCTGTCCCGAGGGGGCGGTCAGAGGATGCGGCCCGATCCCGCGTTCTCCATGAGGTCTGCGCCCGGCTTTAGCCGGGCCGCCATATTCAGCGAAGCCCTTGCCCCCCCACTACCCCAGGGGCGGCTTCTCACTTCCAGGCCTGGGCTCCCCGGCGTGTCCTCATCAGATCCACTCTTTTAAGTACCTCGGGGCGGTCTCCTTCTTCCGCATCCCAGACCTGGGTTATTGGTTATTGCTTTGGGCACTTGGAATGTACAAGTCGCGTTTCCCTTCCGGGAGCCCCTTTACTCGGATGCGTGTTCAACACGTGTTCTCTTCTGCCTCTAGGTTGTGGGCTTCTCCCGCATACTCGTCACTTTCCTAGCTTCCTTCCACTCTCAGCTGCTTCAAACTTGTGCTCGGTTCCCCCTTTCTAACACTCCCCGCTCATCCTGAGGCCTTCATAGGATGCAGAGGCAAAGTGAAGTAATGAAGTAGTAGAACCGCTTGGTTTTTAATGTGTATGATTCTCGTCCCAGTGATTTTCCCCGTAGTTGGGAATCTGTCTAGTAGGGAGTCCTTTTCGCTGACAGGTAAATGCTGTTCACTGTCAGATGAACGCGCACGTGTTCCTGCAGTGAGGCAGGAGGTAGACTTCGGTGTGCTCCGAACGGGAAAGTATCCTGTGGCGCTTTGCTGTCACCGGTGTAAAAGTTTCAA